TAAGGAATAAAAGACCAGCTAAATATTTAAAAATCAAAATAGCTTCTAAGGTATAGATTCCAGGCATCAGTGCTTTCTGTAAAGTTTTCCAAGTGATTCTAATGAGCAGAGTGAGAACCATCACTGTTAGTACACAGCAATGTGCTGGCTGGGCCACCACCCCCGCTCCCCTCCACACTGTTTTGTCCCTTCTGGACCTGCTAGTCCTTTCTTTCCTTTTTCCCTCCTTCTCTACCATCACTTCAGGTGCCGCCTCTCGTAGAGGATCTCCAGGTTTCAGGCCTCCACTCTACTGCAGGATGAAGAGCTTGAGGAGATCAACAAGGAGACTGGCTTTTCCTCACATGGCTTGTCTCTGCAGCCAGGTCACCCACCTGGGCAAGGGAGTCCATGGCACTCTCAACTGGAAGATTTCCAAAGGTTTCCAGAACATGGCATCAACCCACTGTGGGGCTGGAACGTCAGTGTCTTCTTCCTGAGGGAGATGAGTAGGTAAATGTCTGTGGCTTCCACTGAGGATAATGAAGAGAGCAAAGATGTGAACAAACCAGAACTACTCGGCCGAAGCAACAGACACTCACTTTTTGACCGTCTGATTTAGATAAAGAGCCATGACGAGCTGTAGTGGGTCTTAGGCGTGATGGTTGGGGCGAACGTCTAGAGCAGCTGGGCAAGGAGGGAGCCAGCGGGCAGCTGAGGAGACGGGTCAGCAGTGCCATGTCCTTCATAGCATTTGTTAACAGTTTTGGAGAAGGTAGACGCAGAACAGAAAACAAGCACTCAATTTCTTCACTAAAGGACAGAGGCCAAGTTATTCCTTGCTGTCCAATATTTGAGAACTAGAACTTTTATTTTTTTAAAAAAATTTATTTATTTGAGAGAGAGAGAGAGAGAGAGAGAGAGAGAGAGAGAGAGAGAGAGAGAGGTGTGTGTGTGTGTGTGTGTGTGGCCAGCTCAGCCCACCAGGGGGCAGGGCGGGCTGGCATGTAGTGCTGGGGGATTGAACCGCGGTCCCTGTGCTTTGCTAAGCTTGTTCTAAGTAGGTGCTTTAGACCACTGAGCCATCTCACCAGCCCCGAGAACTAGAACTTTTAAAAGAGCCCCCTTGTCCACCAGCCTCATGGTTCTCCAAGAGCACTACTGCTGCCTCATGAAAGCCTCAAATGTGTTCTCTGAGCCTGCCACTGGTGTAGAAGTAGGGCACAACAGGATGGTACAGCGTCTCTTGTTCAGTAGCCATCCGCCCGCTCTGTTTCTCATACACCTGGGTTCCCTGTTCTGTTGCTAAACACCGTACATCCATCTGGTCCTCAAAAGAGAGGTGATCAGGCCCAGAACTGGCCAGTGAAGCTCTCATGGGGTGAAGATACAGCTAAGCCGCCCTCCCCGCAGCAAGGTTTTGGCATGCTTTGCATACTGGTATGCATCCTTTGCTTTCCATGCCTTCAGCCTACCATCCATCTAGGTTCTCAGCCTGTCTGCTTTTTACTAAGCCCAATGTCCCTGTTCCACTCCGCACTCTAAGCTATGCCTATTAAATCTATGACTTGGCAGGATAGTTTAGTGGTCTGGCAGTTTCTATCTACCTTTACTCCAACGAGTCTCTCAAGTGCTGCCTTTCTAGGAGCGTTTTAGTAGCCAACACTTCTCTTGGAAGAATGTGGTTCTATCTTGAGTCTCTTGCACTGTTCTGTCATTACAGGGCTTCTGTATGGAAATCTTTGACAGATCACTTGGTGAGTAACTGTTCTAGGTAGCTTTCCCAGGTTGCGCCACCTCTGGCTTCTGATTAACTTACATACCCACATGGCTTCTCTTTATAAGTGCTATATCAGGGGCTGGTGAGATGGCTCAGTGGTCTAAAGCACCTACTTAGAACAAGCTTAACAAAGCAGAGGGACCACGGTTCAATCCCCCAGCACCACATGCCAGCCAGCCCTGCCCCCTGGTGGGCTGGGCTGGCCACACATACATACACACACACAAATAAATAAATTAATTAATTAATTAAAAAAAATAAGTGCTATATCAGCTATTCAGAAAACACTTTTCTGGGGCCAGGGAGATGGCTCAGTGGAATAAGTGCTTCCCTGGCAAGCGCAAGGGCCTGAGTTCAATCCCCGGCTCCGCAAAAAAAAAAAAAAAACCTTTCTGGAGACTTCCTTAACTTTGGGACACTGTCCCCACCAGAGTGGCTGCTGGATGTGCCAATGACCTTGTTATGGTTTGTGTATAGGTGTCCCCCCCAAAGTCAGGCAGTCATGGGGCGGCTTCTAGAGTTTGTGATTATTGTGGGTATGGATGCTGCACCTGTCCTGAGGCAGGTAATTTGCATTACAATGTAAGGAGAGGAGAGAGGCTAGCTAGCTGAGCTGCTGCCACTCCCTTTGCTTTTTTTTTTTTTTTTTAATGCAGTCCATATGTGGCCATTTTTATTATCATTATTGACAGGAAAACCTCCAAATGACACAGGGAGAAAGACTGATCTCCCAACCTAAAAGGTACCTGGGATGAGTTCGTGTTCTCTGCAACTAAGAATGAATTCTGGGAACAAATGGAGGTTATGAGCAGAATATATTTATTGAGGGAAAGAAAACTCCTGCCTAAGAGAAGGACAGGAGGAGGATCCCAAGTGGGTAGTCCCTCTCCCTTTGCTCTTGCTCTTTGCTGCCACCATGAAAGGTTACTCTCTGCCATGCGTCACTTTGCCTTGGAGCCAGCTGAGTATGGACTGAAACCTCCAGTAACTGTGAGCTAAATAAACTTTTCCTTCCTTCAGTTTGGGTGCCAGGCATTTGTCCCAGCAATGAGAGAAGAGTAACTGAGACAGACCTCGTGGCTTACTGAGCAAAGAGCCCTAATGCCTCCAGCACTCACACTGTGTATGCCTCAGTGTTATGAGCTCTGGAAAAGTTTCTCCATTCATATTTGCAAGTAGAGCAACTAGTGTTATGGAAATGCCTAATTTATCCCAGTGCAACAGAACTAACGACTGTCCTCAGTGTCCTTAGGTGTTATACAAAAATGTTTATTTTATACTTGGCCAGTTAATGCTAGAAGCCCTAGCTGCTCCTACAGCCCCAGAGCTAAATATATTATTTGCTACCTAGTCACATTATCTTCCTAGGTTTTGTGCAGACCACTGCTAACCCCTTGGACACTAAGGGTCTGGCACTGGTGGCACAACCTAAGGGCACATTACAGGTCATCAAGTGAACCAGAACAACTTCTCTGTCGAAGTCAGCTTAGTTTAGTCTCTGTAGTATCAGGCTGTTGCCATCTTCTGTCTGTAGGAGTCCATTCGTTCAGACATCTGCCCTTGGCTAACTTTCTCTGACTTGCTTGCTTCCTCGCTTCAGAAGGCCAAGATATGCAAACAATTCTTGAAAAGATTTGTGATATCTTGAAAAGATTTGGGGGGAGGGGGAAGTGCAAAGGATGTATAAAGTGATGTATAAAGGTAGGGGTCAAAGGGGTGTCCAGGCTGGATGGCGTAAGTATAAATGCAAGAGGAGTTTTTTATGAGGTATCAATTCGAATTAGTGAATACAGGAATTGTATGAAAGGGAAGAACTGTCTGATAGACTCCCTGATCTGCATAGAGTTCCTAAGATTATGGCTTTCTTCCCCTTTGGCTCTATAGCAAACTTTGAATCCACAGTTGTGTCTTATTCCATTAAAATTGTATTCTTTGTTCCATCAATAAATACTTAAGATGTAAAAATTGTGTTAAAATATATATGTAATAAATGTAAAATATCAGTAACTTTGAATCCTGATTTTATACTGAAATGATAAAGTTTTGGATATACTAGCTAAAATACAGTCATCAAAAATTTTTTTTAAAAAGGGCCTGGGAGATAGCTCAGTAGAACAAGTACTTGCCTGGCAAGCACAAGGGCCTGAGTTCAGTCCCCAATTCTGAAAAAACAACAACAACAACTTAGGGGCCGGGGAGATGGCTCAGTGGAATAAGTGATTCTCTGGCAAGTGGAAGGGCCTGAGTTCAATCCCTGGTTCCACCAAAAGAAAAATAAATTAAAAAAAAAAAAAAATGGGTTGGCTGATGAGCAGTGAGGGAAAACTAAAAGACAGCCAGTTTGACCAGAAAATATACAGGAACCCTTGAGCCAGTCAACACAAGTTCCACTAAGAAGCTAAAGGCTGCGTTAGGCTCCTGATAGTCCAGTGTCAGCTGATAGCTGCTGATAGCAGCATCTTACCCTTCAAGTGCACACAAAGGCCTCTGCAGACCCTGCCACTCACCAAGTGGGCAGAGGAAAGCTGGGTCCGAATTCACCCTCATCTCCAAGCAGAAAGGCCCAGCTACAGCCAGCCAGCCCTGGGAGTTTCCAGTGGAGTTGCCTCGTGCTGACCAGGTTTTCTCTGCAGTAGGCCCTGAGAAAGGCAAGGGTCTGCTCCTTGGCTTCCTCCTGGCCATTCTAAAACTCACACTATGAGACCTTTGGTGAAGGCGGCAGTGTTTTAACCAAGCTCACTTTGGCCAAAGCAGGGACTGCCAGGCTCCTGAAGTTCAGGATTATCACAGAAGAGTTGTGTGGTGACAAGAGTGGACTGGAGTCAGGGTGGCCTGGCTGTACCTGAGCAACTGTGTCAGTTTTCTCAACCCAGAGCTCCAAGCCTGGACAGCAGTGTCAGGTTGTGTGTGTGTGTGTGTGTGTGTGTGTGTGCGCGCGCGCGCGCGCGCGTGTGTGTGTGTAAATAAGGAATGAGAATTACTTTCTTCATTCTGAAGATGAGATAAAAATATTCTTCACTGGTAAGATATGGAAATGAGGTCTAGAGGGAGCCTCTCCCAAGCCAGCAAGCTGCTAATGCCCTTGGCTACTTCCTGAGCCCTCCAGAGCCGCTCCCCCGGGCCACGTGTGCTGGTGGCAAGCCCAGGACTCCTACCAGATGTGAAGCCGTCATGGGCTGCACAAGGAGGAGCACCGTGACACACACCAGAAATGTGGCATAAAGCAGCTAACAGGCAGGCACCCAGTTAAATAGCATGTTTAATCATCCAACAGACAGTAGTAGAAATCATTTTTTAAAAGTCACTCCCCATTCCTCAACTCCCAGATACGTGGCTGAGGAACCAGCGATGGGGCCACAGGAATTCAGGAGCTGAAAGTGTTTCCAAGTCAGAGTTGCCTGTGAGCAGCCGCAGCCCTATGAAAAGTTGATTCGCACGCAGGCTCTCAACACACATGTGCAAGGGACACAGGAGAGAGTTGGAGATGGACCACAGTGGGGCAGTCACACACATGCGCGCTCATGCTACAGCATTCCAGTCTGTCTCATCCAGGGATACGGTGGTGGCCTGAGCCTGGAAGCAGCAGGCGCTGGTCGGAGGAAGTGGAGCGAGACATCTGCATGCGGCCGGGCTGCTGGACAACGGCCCCTGACGCAGCCGCCCTTCCGTGGCGCTGGGGAGTGGGACCGGCCCCAGCGTGAGGGGCTGGGCAAAGGCTCTGCCTACGCTGCCAGCGGCCGCGGGGCAGCGCTGCCATTTCCTTCTGGCCCCACCAGAGGGCACCCTCTGTCCCAGAAATGAGAAGAAAGAACGTGCTGGGACCAGAACCTTCGGAGCCACAGGCTGGTGGCACTGGGTTCTGACTGGTTCTGTGTCCGTGTGGGGAAACGCTGCAGGCCCCGTGAGGTGCACTGGGTTGGGCAGCACTGCCACAAGGCAGGCAGAGAGGAGGCCAGAGGCCGGCTGTGCCCCAGGCAGGGGGCGGTGCAAAAAAGGAGGCCCTGAGGTGAGAAGATTTGGGCGGGGCCTTCGGGACAGGTTACAGAGGCAACCTCTTCCTTCACAGCTTCGTTCAGGGGCTCCCGGGCAGGCGAGCGTGGATTCAAGTACCAGCGGTTCTGGGGGCGTGAGCAGCAGCGGCTGGAGAACAGCTGCCCACAGACCTAGACCTGGGAGGTAGGGAGTCGGCCGGCGGGGCTCGGGTCCGCCCACCCCGCCCCGCCCGAGGGACCGACGGCAGCTACAGGATCTCCTCCCGCGCGCTCTGGGCCTTCAGCGGGGTCTGCCCGTTGGGCACGGAGCCATTCTGACCGTGCAGGAGTTTGCCCTTCTCCCGGTCTGGCCACGTGAAGATGGCGTCGTCGCTGTCCAGCTCAGACTCGGAGTGCATCAGGCTGCTGCTCAGCATGGGGCCTTTCTGTCTGATGCCTGAAATAAAGAAGAACCGGGTGTCCAGACTCAAAGCTCCCGAGCCCTGAGCCGTAGCTGCATGTCAGCCCAGCCTGCAGAGCACAGCACAGAGAGCTCAGTGCCCTCTCGGGATTGGGAGGGCAGGTCCTCCAGGTCCCAGGCTGGCTACCAGAGTTCACTAGGAGGAGCCACAGAAAGCACAGCCTGGAGACCACACCTGGCCTCTGTTGCTGTGTGTTCACCTCCAGGATCCGTGAGCCTTGGTGAGGGGCACCAGTGGCATTCTTTCCTTCTTAATCTGGACTCCTTCATGAACAGGGAGTGGGGTGGGAGGCCGGCAAGCACAGAGCACTGAGTTGGAGAGTGAGCTTTAAGCATCTCCTGGCCCTGCTTGGACACTGCGTCCTGGCAGCATGCAAAATACTCTACAGAAAGCAAAGGGAGTGGAGAGATGGGAACTGTGAGGTGGGAGGCCCTACCCTGGCTGTGTTCTGGTGACCAGTCAGACAGACGCACGAGAGAGCGAGACCATCTGCAGGCGGCCTGGCTGCTGGCACAACAGCCCCTGCCACAGCTGCCCTTCCGTGGCGCTGGGGAGTGGGATGGGCTCCAGCGTGAGGGGCTGGGCAGCACTGCCATTTCCTGGGCCAGGCAGCACCCTCACCTCACCAACTGTCACTCTGCAGAGCATCAAAAAGGGCCCTGAGGATCCTGGGGACCTGTGCCTTGCCTGACCAGCCTGCTTTAGGCCGTATCTACTCTAGGCTCTGTCACTTGGGGACCGTACTCTCCTGCTGACCTCAGCCAGGTGTGATTTTGTCCATGTAGTGGGCCCTGGGCTCAGGCAAGCTGTTTACTCAGCCTTGTCCACAGTAGGAGTGCAGCCCTGGGACATGACTACATGGCCACGTTCTGAGTGGTAAGGCTGCAGGACAGCTTGGCTGCAGGAGAGCCCTGGCAGCCTGACCTCTCCAGTGTTGTGGAGACAGTAGGCAATGGAATGCCCAGGCTGAGGGAAAGCCCTCCCTATGGCCTCCTTATGGTCAGCCCCAGCCCTGCTCGCGTCCTTTAGGGGCTTTCCCATTGCAATACCCACTTCTTTCCCAGAGCCCCTTTGGGCCATAGCTGTAAAGGACAGGAACACACTGGGGAGACCCATCCCTGGCTCCATAGCCACTCAACTAGGGCCCTCCCACCACAAGCTCCAGCTCAGAGTGTAGAGCCAAGTGGAATTTACTCATGAAGAATGACAAGATGGACCCCATACTATGAGTGAAAGCTGGACATACTCGGTCCCCATGGCTCACCAACACACTCCCCATTCCCAGGTCTTGCCCTAACAAGTCTGTACATATGTCCACCATAGACATGAACAAGAATGTCTTCAATGCTAAGAGGGGAAAAAAAAAAAAAAAAACCTCAGTTGCCCATTAACAGTATAAATAGCAAATAAATTTATTCACATAATGGAAATTCAACAGCATTGTGAATGAAATAAGAGAAATTTTTTAATGGAGTGTTGAGTGAACAGAGCTAAAGGACTCTATTCATATCAACTCCTGTAAGATATGAGAAATGGGAGGGGAAACTGACTGTTAGGAAGCACAAAAGAGGTGGTGTCCTTCCCACGGTGTGCTCGCCTATGAAGACCTAGCACACTAAGGTAGGATTCTGTACCATTAGATGGAACCACAACACTGCCATCTTTGTAAGACAAAATGAAATTTTAGCAGTTCTGCATGATGTAATCTAGCATGCTTTAATACAAAGTTTGGAAAAATAAAACCTGACCCAAAGCCAGAGTTGCTGAACACAGACGCTGTCTGCTGAGGGGGCCCTTGGTGCCGAGAACCCCACAGCCACTCCGCTGGGGCTGCCCTGCCTGCTCTCTGCAGGGCCCAGCACACCTCAGCACAGTGCCATGTGCTCTCAAGTGCCTCCTCTGCAGGCCGAACTGCTTTAGGCCCACACCTCATACAAAGCAGTCCCAAGTACCCTTCTCGGCCTGCAGTTACAGGGACCCTCTGGCTGGTCAGATGCATAGCAGATGCCAGCAGACCGCACCACTCCCTCAGCCACAGGCTACCCTCAAGAGAAGAGCTGTCCCTCACCTAGAGTCACCTGTGGCTGTGGTGAGCTACATGCTAGCAGCCCAGGAGCTCCAACCCCAGGAGTCTGCTCTGCCCTAGGGCTCCACCCCAGCTCTCCTCAGCTCTGCACTGTTTGATGCCAGCACCTATATCCCTCCGCTCTTGCCTCAGAGGCCTCTCAGTGCTGCAGCTCCCCTTCCTCCCAGGGACCCTAACCTCCGCCAGGCCCAGGCTCTGCATCTCTGCTGCTGGCTAACCCGGCCCCAGCCCAGGTAGCTCTGGCCCTCCAGCCTGCCTCTCCCCTAGCTGTCCTTGTTCAGCTTTGACAAGGACTTAAATAGTTAGGGCGTTTGCTCTCCACCCTCATCTGGCCCTCGCACCCAGGCCAGACTCACAATTCTGCTGTAGCTCTTTAGGGGCCCAGGAACAGCTGGGTCATCAACACACACAGATGCCCACCATGGGACACACCCACAGACAGGCACTCCTGACCCATCTTAGGCTCCTGGGCCTCTCCTGGTCAGGGCTGTGACCACTTACGGCGCTGATCCTTACCAGCAGAGAAAAGAGCACTCACTCCGGCTGGGACTGTTCTGCTGAGTGCAATCTAATTTCTCTTCTCACTTAGTCACTGACCCCGATGCCCTGATCCTGTTAACAACATTCATTCCCTGTCTCGGGGGTTGGAAGTCAGCCTTGTCTCCCCCTGTCCCTTGATTTGCTTGTACAACTAACACCAAGCAAATGGTCACTGTCACTTCCTCCACGAGTCACTACAGAACTCGCCTTACTGACCTTCCTAGTTAACTTCTCCCCTTCCGCTCAGCGATATGTTGTCACCAGGCTAATTTTCCTGAACTAGCACTTTTAAGATGTTACTTCTCATAAAATCAGGCAAAGGCTTATTAGCCCTCACCCCTTAAAAGAGCAGGAAGCTGGATGTGATAGCACAAGCCTGTATCTAACACTGAGGGAAGCTGAAGCAAGAGGACTGAAGCTTGAGCTGAGCTGGGCAACTCCCCCTGACCTGTCCCTTAAAAAGGGCTAAGGATGTAGCTCAGTGGCAGGGAGCGGGGCAATCTTCCCCCCACCAGACAAGGGCTCCTCACTGCCCTCAGAAGGGACCACAGCAGGCCCCTGCTCCCTCGAAGGTCCTCCGCCCCCTAGGGGCAGGGCCTCGGGCTACCTCTGCTGTAGCCCAGGCTCCGCACTCGCAGGCTCTCGGCTACGTGGCTTGGGCTTCAGTGTTTCTCTTAACATTTTTCACAATTCCTTTTATACATCTGTGACTGTGACTTCAGGAGGTGGGAAAGAAATTGCTGGACAGAGACAGGAGCCAGCAGAACTTTTTCAGAAAAGAAAGAGCTCAGCAAGAAGGGAGATCCCAGAAAAGCGAGCTAATGTAAGCTCACAAATGCTGTGTTGACCACAAGTTGAAGCTTTTGGGGTGGAAAATAATAAATCACAGAAAGATTCTAAATTGGGTGCTGGGGGCCATGGTCAGGTTGTCATGACAGGAAGGCCTGGCCACCACGTGGAAGCAGCTGTGCAGTGTTTGCTCTCCATCTTCTCCCCACCCTGGGACTCATTTCAGAGCAAGGTACTCAGCTGGAGCCGCACGGTGCAGGGGCCAGGCTGCCTGCCCCAGAATATTCACTCTGCGGCTGCATCTTCACCCCACAGGCTATAATTCTTGAGTGCAGAGCTTATCTCAGGACTCCCTCTATCCCACAGCCTCCCCTTAATGCAAAACGTCAAGCTCATTTAATACTTTCTATAATAATAGTTTCACTTGCAGAGGGCTTGGGTGCTGTCCTGTGACATTCATGATGAAGGGGACCTCACCAGAGGAGCCCAGTGAGGGAGGGAGGCGTTCCCCCAGATTTCCCGAAGCCACCAGCCAGTGCCTGTGCAGTAGGAAACCCTTCCTGCATAAAGCACATGACGTGAGCAAGGTGCCTGCAGCTTCCAGGGAAGCTTCCCTGCAGGCTATCCTGGGCCACCCAGCAAGGGCAGAAGCATGAGGGAGAAGACACTGGCTGAGAAGGAGGCAAGCGGGCAGACCCTGGCTCTGATCTCAACTATGCCTAGAGAGGAGAGGCCAGTTAGGCCTAAAGGGCCACAGCCCTGACCCCTACCACAGGGGCAGCTTGAGAACCTGAGTGAGGAGCAGGCAAAGGGTGCAGGCGGCCTGGTGCCCGACACAGCAGGAATGACACTGTGGAGGGAGGCCACAGGCACCAGGCCTGTGCTCAGCTCCTGCACGTCAGGGCTGCCCCAGCCCTCAGCTGTCACCAGTCCTCACCAGCAAGGGAACACAGTGTTTTTGCAGCACAGACAGCTGATAGCTACCAGCCAGTTCCTGGCCTACCTGCACGAGAAGTTGGCTTCAGCTCCAGGCTTTCCTGGTCAGTGGCATCCAGGATCTTGTATCTGCTTTTCCTCTTGGGTTTTCCTTTTTGCCTAAAAAAAACCCCACAATTCCCACACGTATTCAGGAGAGGCTCTGTGTGTAGCTCGGGACAAGGGCCGGGGCTCACAGGGCACCTGTGGAGGTGATGGGAGCCCTACGAGAGAGGTGTCTCCCTCCTCATGTTTTGGCCATGGAGGGAGGTGGCAATTGTGATTTGTTTCTCAAAAATGTTCCTCATCAGTCCTGGGAAACGCAAGGGCCTATGAGCACCCTAGCGTGGCCTCACCTCATCACAGCAGCAAGGAGGACGGGGAGAGTGCACAGAAGTGCAGCTCCTGCTAAGGGCGTCAGGAGGCGTCAGACCATTGGTGGTGGCTGGCTCAGGCTGGTCAGCACTTTGTAAAATTCTTTTAATTTTCTAAGCTTTATATGAGGTAATATTGCGGATTAAATCCCAGTCTGTTGCTTACTATGTCCTCAGACAGGCAATACAATTTTCCTGAGCCTGGCCCCTTCCTTATCTATAAGATGGCAAAAGGTATTAAAAAAGATATAATCTACAAAATGTCATCATGACACACAGTAAACATAGAAATCATGCTTCTTAATAATGAAAAATTGGTGGCCGGGGAGATGGCTCAGTAGAATAAGCGATTCCCTGGCAAGTGCAAGGGCCTGAGTTCAACACCCGATTCCATAAAAAAAAAAAAAAAAAAGAAAAACGAAAAACGAAAAACGAAAAATCATCAGCGAGATAGCTCAGCAGACTTAAGTGCCTGCCTGGCAAACATAAGGTCCTGAGTTCAATCCCTGGTACCAAAAGAAAAAGAAAAAAAAAAAAGAGTTGGTAGATTTTAAAACAAAAAAAGAAAAATGTGCAAGTAACTATTCAAGCAGTATTAGGTCAGAAGACTCAAGTGAAAAACCCTACAGCAGCTCACACACATCCCAAGGCTGACTACAAATGGTGAAAACCTGCGTGCACCATTCGCACCTACAAAATAAGGAGAATAACACCTGCGAGGTCCAGGGGCAAGGCTGAGGTGGGAGCCGTCCAGGACACCACGCCCTCTCCCCCCACCGTGCCCAGTCTCTCAGTGACAGACTGGTAGGCACTGCTGCCCTCCAAGGGCTTGAGGGGGAGGGGTGCCTTCCTGACAGGCCTGGGTTGCACCAAACCACTCCAACTATGACAGTCTCTCCACGCGGCAGATACCACATACCTCTCGGAAAAGAGTCTGTGACAAGAAGCCCAAACAAATTTCAACAGAGAATCCATCTTACCTCTTACAACAACAGATTATAGTCCAAGACAGGATTCCCAAGGCAACAACAATGACAAAGGTAGCAATGATAACGTACAACACACTCCACTCTGTAAAGAAAACCAAAATGGTGAGGGCTGGGAGAGAGCAGAAGGCAGGCAGACGGAGTCTTTGTACTGCCTACAAGAAGGCATTCAGGGCTGCCAGGGAGGGCAGACCTTGAAGCTCACAAGCTTCTAAAATTGCCGCATCCCAGGCCCTGCTCTGGGAGTGCTTGTAGGCACTGCGGCCGCGCTGGGAGCACTGGCTGGAAGGGGACTGCAGGTTCCATTAGTCCAAGCACGCAGCTGCCCCTGAAAGACAGGGGGCCTGGCCATGGGCCAGACTGGGCTGCAGGGCCAGCAGGTGGTCTGAAGCAAGTCTGGTTCTTACATGATTGCCTCAGAGCGTTCTCTAACCTGTGCAGGAAAGAGGAAAAATCCTCCACAAACAGAAAATACACAGAGTTCTTCTCTTTGCCTGCTCATCTGCCTCAGAAACATCAACAGCCGCCCCCTCAGTGCAGATCCACACTCTAGCCAAAGCAGCTGGCGTGGAGCCACACAGACTCACCACAGTTGCTGTCGCCATCCCTCAGCTGCACCTTGATGAAATTCTCCATCCAAAAAGGGTCACAGATACAGCGTTTAGTGAATGAGTCACAGTGGCCATGGTCGGAACAGTTCAGCTGACATGCTGAAGGTGGCAGGGGAGAGAGAGGGTCAGGGGAGACACCAAAGTGGTCCCCATCATGCTGCTGTGCGGTGGAGGTGGCAGCAAGGCAGTGGAAAGCCAGCAGCCGACAGTCCCTCTTGTCCTCTGTATCAGTGACTGTCGGTCTTTTACGTCCTATCGTCCTCAGAATAACGTAATTGGAGAAATACAGGATTACACAGGAAACAGTCACATTGTAGGGTTTTTTGTTTAGTTTTGTGGTACCAAGGATCACACCCAGGGCCTCTGCACTGAGCTACATCCCCGGCCCTTTGTATTTTTGAGACAGAGTCTTTCTAAGTCACTAATTTGCCCAGGCTGGATTTGAGCTTGCAATCTTTAGCCTCAGAGTCCTGGGTTACAGGCATGTACTACCACACCAGCTCTTAATGTGGTTTTTAAATATTTAAAAACACAAATGTTTGGGAAAAAAAAAAATTTAAAAAATTTAATTTTATTAAATTATTAAGAAAAAAGATCTACTAGTGGATCTAATAACTTGTAATTTTGAAGTAGTGATGAGTAAAAAATGCTGTTTTGGCAAAAGTAAGGACAGAGAATTGCGTGTGATTTCCACTGCAGCAAGTTCACAGTTCTGTCAGTGCTGCCCTCCTTCAAAGTGAAGGCTTTCGGTCTAAGGTTAGTGAAAATTAAGACACAATTTTTCCCACTAAGGCTCACAGCTAGTCTGAGCGCTGCCTCAGGTTCCCCCTAGGCCGCAGGTAAGAGCCCCTGGGCTGGGTAGAGGGCGTCCTGAAGGAGAATGTGCATCCATGCGCGTGCGCATCTACATCCGAAGGCACTCAGGCTAGGGACAGCAGGCGCGAGGGGAGCTAAGCAGGTCGGCCCTAGCTCCCAACTTCCCAGAATTACTCACTGACAGTGTTGATCTCCAGGGCTCCAAATACCAGAAAGTCTGCCTTTTGCTTCTGCAGCTCATTCTTGAGCATGGCTGCCACCTCATAGCCCTTGAAGGTCTGGTGGGGAGGCTCATTTTGAACATAAAATACCATCTTGGTGCTGTAGAGACATGCAACAACATGAATGAGCTGAAAGCAGGCTGTAATGGCAGCAGCCTCCACATTTCCCAAGTCCCTTCTGTCTGTGCCAGACCCTGTGCTGTGTGTCACATGCATTCCCTCCCAGTAGGCCAGTGAGGATGGTGTTACAGAAGACAATTTTGCTGGGCTGGGGTTGAGTGCTTGCCCAAGGTCACACAGTTAATTGTTGTGGCAGAGCCAGATCCCCACCCTGTTACACAGAGACCTGCTGATGGCTGCATTCTATGCTCAATCTTTCACAGCTAGGATGAGCAGCTGCTGGGTTACTTGTAAAAAAAAAAAAAAAAAAACAAAAACAAAAAAAACCACAGTGCTTTGTAAATTGTTGCAAAGCATCAAGATTATCCAGAAGCCAAAACATAGCGAAAATGGCTGTTACGGTGACAGCAAAAAGAAAGGCCCAACACAATGGTGTGGCAGTTTCAAAATTTGTATTATTCCATGCCCAGACTGTCTTTGCTTTCTGTTTGTCATTTTCTCCAAGACACCATGCCTGAACCCACATCTAGGTAGCACAAAAAACCCTCTCAGCCCTGTCCCTCATCTCTGGCTGCCTGGGCTCCATGCTTGCCTCATGCTGAGCTGTCCCAGCCAGTGGCTCACATGAGGTTTCTAGGTGTGCTCAGGACTCTGACCTGCGCAGCGCCCAGGGTGTCTGGACACCCAGCCCTGGCCCAGCTGCTCCTGGTCAAGTGGCCTCGTCCATCCACCCCAAGGTGTGGTGTGGGTGCTGCCTCTTTCTTTTCTGTCTGTCTCTCTCTCTCTCTCTTTTATGTATTTGGTACAAGTAGTGATCCTCCTGTTTTCAGCCTCCCTAGCACTGGGATTACAGATGTGCACCACTACATCCAGACTCTGGCTCAGTACACACCGGGGGTTGGGCCGGCACGGCATGAGGAACCAGAGATAGAACCCTGGTCCCTGTGCTTGCCAAAGCAGGTGCTCAGTCTGTTGGGTTACCTCACTGGCCCGCGCCCTTTTCTATAATGGCATGACATAAAGGTTTGGAAGCACTGCCATCAACTAAATGCTTGCTGTGCAGGAAGCTGGCATTTTGGCCTTACAGGTTCCAGAATCAAGATACACAGTTTTAGTATAAAAGATGCGTAGTCCACTTCTTATTATTTCTCTTGGTTACCAACCCATGGCTATAGTTTCCATTTCTATCCCTATACCAGCAAACCCCAAGCCTTAATCTCCTCTCCCACTGGGACAAACAGTGGCCCATTTAGACCCAGAAGTATTTCCAAGAATAATGACCTCAGATCTTTCCCAGATACCTCAAGCCTTACATGTCTCGATAAATTTATGATATAAATAAAAGAGTGAAATCAAGGAGAGATGATAGGAAACAAAAAGGCAGAGTTTTGGAAAATGGGGAAGAACATCAGGCTAAGCAGGGAAGGTAGGGAATGGGGAGTGAAGACCCCAAAATAAGCTATATCATATACATAGAGCCAGGGCCCCGAACAAATGGGACTATTATGCACCACAAACGTGCAGCAGTAAGAACACTTCTGGCGGTAAGCATCAATTAAGCCCTATCTGTTAGAGACTTACACGAACGCTATCTCATTAATCCTCAATATCCCAGTAAAATGCACACTAGACTGCTCACAGGTACACACCAGGTTATGAGAAGCAGCTTGTGCACCTCACAGGACCCTGTGGAGCACAGGGAGCTCAGGGCCAGGGCCCTGCTTTTCCCTCCAAGCTCACGCTCCTCCCCTCCTCAGCTAAGTCGCATAAGGCCCAGCCAGAAACCCACAGAGGTCCACATTCCTCCCTCCCTCCTCCAGTCTGAGTAAACCCCAACCATGCCCTAGGTGCCAACCTCTGCCTACCTCTTCTACCCCGTCAGTTCCCCTAATCCAAGCAGTTCCCATCAATGTAAGCAGCCTGCTGCTACTGCCAGATGCTGGGTAGCTCAAAACTGATCGATCATCAAAGGCAAGGGTCCCAACCGTGCTGTCTCCACCCGACTCGAGATTCCCTGCGGAGCTTTTAAGCTTTAGGTACCCAGGTCCCATACCAGCTGAGTCATCATGGCTGGGCTGAGGCTGTGGAATCCGGGGTGCATGGGAACACTGAGAGTTGGGAGCCACTGTGCTTGCCCCCTGCCCCTCACCTGGACTCAGACTCCAGGATCACTCAAAATCCCACCCTCTACCACTTCACCACTTCGGCCCACTCCACCTCACTGTGCTCTGAGGCAGCCCTCTCCCTTCCTATCTCCAGAGCACCCTCTGCCCCAGGACAGCCTCTGCGAATTGCCCCTCCTCCACCACCTCCTTTTCTTTGACATTTTTCCCTGTTGGTAAAAAAGCTGAAGTTACTTTCTATCTTTAAAAGGAGCATTTCTATCCAATCCCCACAGTACTCACAGTACCCACTTCTGCAGAGCTCTGATGTGTGCTAGCTTGGAGCCTCAGACTATGACCCCGTCCCCTGTGCTGACATGCAGCGCAGCACACACCCCACAGCCTTGCAGCACCAGAGCCTCTGGCAGCGCATCACAGCACCAGTCCAGGGCCGCTCCAGATAGCTTCCTTCCTCCTCCCTGACTGTTCTCCCTGGTTTCTTTTGCTGTGTCTCTCCTGTCTTTCTTAGATACAGTGTCTGCTGGAGTTCTGTCCTCAGTCCTCTTGGCAGTGTGCTTCATCTCTTCTTGTGGCTTTGACCCCTGCCTCTTCCTTCCACCCCCAGTTCCAGCCTGTTCTTGCCACTGTGGGGCATCCCCCATGTGGTCCACTAACCTGCCACTTCTTCTGCCCAGCTTGTTAGTCATTTGGTTCTCCCAGCACCACTCTGGGTCCCACAGCACGTGCCTCCCCCAGGATGTCTCACTCGCCTTCCCTCCCCACAGACCCCCAAGCTCTGCTGGTTTGCCTCTAACTTCTGCCACTGCCTGAACTCAGGGTTTGCCACCACTCTATCAGGACAGAAGCTCCCATACTGTTCTCCCAGACTTCAATTTCTCCTTCTTCTAATTGAACCTCCAAATCACCGATCTTCGTGAACAAAATAAAACCCTAAATATGGACTGTCCTTGCCTTAAAGACAAAAAAGAATCAAAATTTTATACACTAAAACAGAATAACTTGAGTCCTCCCATCCACACTATCACAGCTAAATTCAACTCACTCACAGTCCCCAGTGTCCGAAGCTGGCCTTGCTCTTGACTGCCTCCTGGGGCCTACTCAACTCTGAACCAACTGCCCTTTCCAGAAGAAGCCCTGCACTTGCTGTGCAGGGCCGCTGCTCACGCCATTCCTCTCTTAATCTTTTCCTAGTTCTTACAGCTCAATGCAAGTTTCAGTCGTGGAAAATCTGGGCTACCTCCTACCAGTTCTGGAGGAATGGACTGCCCTTGCGTCTGTGGCACCCTGCTGCCAGGTGACATGTCTGCCTGTTTCCCCGACCACAGAAGGCAGCAGACCTCTTCTGACCTGTACTTGGGCAACTGGCTGAGTGTTGAACACTGTTGGACAGTAAGTTCAAGAATGAGGTGGATATCAGAGTGGCCCCTGGTCAGAGAACCCACCCGTCTCCGTCTACCCCACTATGTCTCAGTGCAGGCGAGAAGCCCAGGGCCCCTGGCCTGTCCTTCTCTCCCCCCATGTGTTGCCCAGCTACCTCTGCTCCGTGTACGGCTGAATCTTTTGCACAATGATGTCGGAATCCAGCACCCCCAGGAGGACCCCAATCTGGCGGATGAACATCCCCTTCAGCCTCTCAGTTAGCTGACTGACGCTGACATCCAAGATGATCTCCACCAGGTTGTTTTTCCTGGGATCTGGAAAGCATGTGGATCAGTAACAGCTTCAGAAGCAGCAGAGTTACACAGACCTGCCACAGCACATTTGCTTGGCACAGGAGGGAAAGGACACAGCACTGAGACCTCCTCCAACAGGGACGACAGTGGATTCAGATTAGGTCAGACTGGTTCAGAGAGCTTTAGACCAAGCTAAGAAGTGCCACACAAGTGCAGGCAGTAGGGCTGAGTGAAGGGACGGGGAAGGGAGCGCATTGCAGGCCAGCTGTAAAAGCCTCTGCCTGGGGATGCTGCTAAGTGCTCCACAGAAAGTAGGGATGCTGGGTCTCCTGACTCCCGTCTGATCTCACTGGCCTGCTGCACTCCATCTCTGACGGCGGGAGGGAAAATGTCCTTTTCAACCTCTTACCAGTAATGTGAACACATCCATCCCTGCGGATGTCAATATAGTAAGCACAATGAGAATCGAGGTGGCCAAGAAAGGAGGGTTTTCTTAGAGCAACCTTGCAGCTGCACTATGGTCTCACAACTCTAAAATGGGGAGACCATTGTGCTTTACTTGTCCTGAGGATAGTTCCCCATCTAAAAGTCAAATCTCTGACCCATATGGCTGGATGCACCCCGGCCTATTCTGAGGGATGATTTACCTAAGTTGTGCACTATCTGGAATCTGATTTTAGACACAGAAGTAACTCTGGTGTCTTAGCTCTTGCCCTTCCTAGAAGCAGGACAAGGACCACAAGATCTTCTGGGGGCCGGGGAGATGGCTCAGTGGAATAAGTGCTTCCCCGGCAAGCACAAGGATCTGAGTTCAATCCCTGGTTCAAAAAAAAAAAAATTGTTAAAAAAAAAAAAGATCTTCTGGGACCCATTCCCACCTAAGACTGCTACGCTCTCACTTGGCCAGGTAGTAGATGGTTAACTTCAAGTTAATACCTGTTCCTCAGAAGCTCAGGGATTTATAGTTTCTGTCCACCCTCATCTCAGTTCTTTCTTAGCACCAAATTAGCCTCAAAGCAAAACAAAACATCATTCTACTTAGGAAGGAAATTTTATTTCTGAAAATCTGAAAAATGTACAGGATACCAGTCACCTTCCCTGGGTTGTCAGATAAAGCCTGAGGCTCAACTTATAAAAATAAATTGTTTTCTGCATCTGGGTGCTGATGAAACATCATGACTCAAGCTATTCCTGGGCTCAGATTCCCAGCGCACCCGAGCCCTCTCTCCTCAGTCACCAGGGGAGGAGGAAGTGCTTGGCAGGGGGCACAAAGGCCTGGCTCTGACACAACTGCTGTGTGACACTGGGCAAGCCCTGCCCTCTCTTGAGTTTTGGTTTCCCCATCTGAGGTGAGCAGGGGTAGGTCTACACCCCTGTGTGGTCCAAGGGTGCTCTTGGACCAGGAGCCTAAACCTGGGCTTCTAAATTTCTTTTAAAAGCTAGACTTGCATCACATGTGTGCAACAGGGCAGCCCTCAGGGTAAAGGTCTTGATGGCCTGGCCCGGTGAGGCCACGCAGTCTTATTAAGCAAACTCACCAGGCTTCACCTCCACCGTGGCCCTGTCTGTGTCGCTCTCGCCTTTTGCATCAGTCACTTTCAGGTGAAATGTGTAGGTTCCCTCAACCAGATCAGAGAGGAAGAGGACAGGGTGGTGGTCAGAGTGATTTAACACCTCCTGTAGGGTTGAGAAAAAGGGCCGAGTCACAGAACCAGTCATGCCTGTTCTGAGTCAGCTGTGGCTTCTGCCATGACCAGGGGCTGACTGGCTCAGCTGCACCCTTCAGCTCTCATTTTCTGACCCACAAGGGCACCACAGCCCACACCACTAGGGTCAGAAGACAGAAACCTGCTCTGTGCCACACTGCCTCACAGAATGCCCCGAGTAAGTCACTCAGCCTGCTTGGATTTCAGAGAACTCACAGGTCCCTGGTTAAAAGTGACAATGACATGTAAGTTCCTCCCACCCGACCCCCAGTGGCAACTCAGTCTCTTCCGCTGGCTGGCAGCTCACCCCAGCTGCTGGGCTCCCTTCATCTCGAGTCCAGAGGTAGCTGATTATTCCCTTGTCATCTGAAGACTTGGAACCGTCCAGCTCCGCTGTGCTCGTGGGCAAGATGATCACCACATTTCCAGTGATCTTGGCTACAGGCGGCTTGTTCATTTCTAACCAAAGACAAGTTGATGAGACACTATGACACTTTGGAAAGGAAGGAGTGCTGTTTCATGATGCTCATGACAAAACTGGGGTTATCTTAAAGGAGAGCCGCTTCAATGCCTGTCCGTGCCAGAAACCAAGTGGGCATCCCTGAAGCCCCCAGAGGATAACTGTGAGGCTGCATCCCACCCTTGGCAGGGAGGAGTAGACGCCCGGGCTCACATCAGCCCTCCTAAGAGGAAGTCAATTCCTCTCCTGAGATGACTGGAAACAAAAGCCTCACAAGGCTTACGGTCTTGAGGCCTGATGCCCTCAGCTGCCATCACAAGTTCTTCCTTAAAATACCTTAAAGTGTTATCCTCTGAATATTCCTTCCATTCCCCCTTTATACTTCAAAGGGGAAAAGGGTTCTTAGACCCTGGGCTTTATTTGCTGGATAAGTAAATTTATTTGCTGAATAAATTCAGTATCTATTCGGCACAGCACACCATATCAAGACATCACCTGCACATCTCCTCGTTTTTCCTATATCAGCTTAGGGCCTCTCCCCAGGCCCCTTGTCTCCTGGCCTCAGGTCGTCACATCTGCAGCTCACAGGACAAGCCCGGAAGCTGCAGTGCAGCAAAGTTGTTTTAAGGCCTGACAGCAGGTGTCAGTAGAGGTAGCGGGAGAGTCACAGAAACCCTAGGTCTTCAGAGCAGAGGCAAAATCAAGATGCAAAGAAAAAATCCTTAAGGCTTTCAATTGAGATGGAGGGAAGGACTGAGGAGAGGGAGAGATGGAAGAAGAAAAGGATTATAGGAGGAAAAAAGGGAGGAAGGTAGAGTGGGAGGACAGGAGGGAGGGAGAAGGGAGGAAGGAAAGTAGGAAGGAGGCAAGTAGGGGGTGGGCAGGCACAGGAGGGAGACAGACAGGAAGTTAAAATTCACCTCACAGTCATTCTTAATTAGAGGTTGTTTTAGAAAAGCAAGTAACAGCTGCTCTTACCCCAAGCTCCCTCCCCACCTCTGCAGCCAAAGAGAACTGGGCATATTCCCCAGCTCTCTGACTGAAAGGGCTACTGTACAAATCCCAAGCTGGGAGGTACCTTCTTTGACAATGACATTCACAGAGCTCTGGCTCTGCAGATTCCTCTCATCTTTGACAGTCAAGGTGAACACGTAGCTCCCGACTTGCAGCCCAGTCACAGTGGCAACACTGCTGTTAGCATTCTCCAGCTGCACCCCATCAGGGCCCCTGGACAAAGAGAGGGTGGACTTGTACCTGTCTCTGCTCTCTTGTCTCTGGCACAGCAGGAAGGGACAATTATTACCTCAGCCAAATCATGAACAGTTGTTCCCCAGACCTTGATGGGACATGTTTAAAAATACTCCCTTTGGACAAAGTGCCATTTGGCCCCAAAATATAGACTACCTGCTGGTCAGAAAATTCCACTCACCAGCTTTCAAACACTTCTAGGCTTTTTCTTTATATGAGCTTCTAGAACATTCAAACTCTTGTTCCAGTTTGTAAAAGGAATAAAGTTCTCTGAACAGGTCTGTGATCAAAAGAGTGATTTCAGGGTGATGTTTCTGAAAAGCATTCTGGCCCACTGGCTGGTACACACTCTTGCTAGCAAAGGTGCCAAGTGCATCTCTTAATCACATGCCCCAATCCCTCACGAGGAAAAGTCAAGGAAAGGAAATGGGGCAAGGCTGTGCAGCGATTCAGGACAAAGCTGCCATCTCTGCAGCTCTCCGGGCAGAGCTCTCACCAGCTCCTGCACAGAGCCACGGCAGAGCGGGATGCACACCCTGCCTCCGCCCTGCGCCCCTCAAGCTGCCCGCAGCAGGAGCCGGCCCCATGCAGACATCCAGCCCAGGGCTGCATGAGGCTAGGGCTCCCGCAGCCCATGCTGCATCCACCCTAGCACAGCTAGAGACCCCTGTGAACCCCAGAGTCTGCTGTTGTGTTCTGCTTTTTAAACTTAGCATCTCTGACTGTGGCATCCTCTCCTGAAGCACGTTCTCATCCAGGGAGCTTAGCTAAGCACTCTCTTTCTCTCTTTGCCAACACTAAGAAAACTGAGCTCAGAATTTTAGCAGGACAATGCTCAGTAACAGCTGTAAGGAAAAATGGGGCTAAGGAAGATCCAGTTCTCTAAAAGACAGGAGAGCAGAGGGAAACTGCCTAGCACCCAAAGCAGCAATCATAAGCAGTTTCTACAGCAATATCAGTACCCTTTCCCACTTATCTCCAATGTGCTAGTTTAAAAATTCTGTGTGTGTGTGTGTGTGTGTGAGAGAGAGAGAGAGAGAGAGAGAGAGAGGCAGAGACAGAGAGAGATAGAGCGAGCATTTATGTATCTGAAAATCCCAGAATCCTATTCAATTTCCAGAAGAAACTGAGAAGCTTTTAACTCTTAGTTGGAATTCTTGGTTCTCTGAGAGATCCTGTTTATGTGAATTCTACTTGTTATCCTTTAAACAGGAGCTGAAAGCAATTGTGGAGAACTAGGAATGGATTGATTAGGTAATTTCAGTTAATTAGCATTGTTCAGGCGATGGCCTTTAGCCTCTAGCTAACTTAAATGGTGAATCATGTCTTCCAGGAAACAATAATAAGAAATATTTCATTTTATAAATGAAATTTCAATTCCTCTTTGCCCCACCCCCCCAGTTAATTCTGAGCAACAGTATTTTCTGCTCCATTACCTCAGAGCCTACCTCTTCAGTGTAATTAAACTCCATATTTCAGCAGATGGATAGAACCTGCAAAAGCAGTAGTATTGGGGGGCTGTTCCTAAGCATTCCTTTGTTCTTACAAAAAATTATAATATTTTCTTAGGGACGGCCAAATAGTTTAGTGGATTAAAGCCCCTGCAAGCAGATGCAGGGGTCATGGGTTTGATCCCCGGCCTGCCACGCCCCCAGGGTGCGCTGAGACAGTGATTGAGACTGGGTGTGGTGATGGGTGTGCCTGTAATCCCAGCTCTTGGGAGGCCATAAACAGGTGGATCACTATGAGTCCGATCTAGTAGTGAGACCCTGAACACCCTGTAGACTCTTCCCTAAAATACAGAAAAAAATAATAAAATAAATAAAAATGATTTCTAAATTAAAGTTTGTGATTGTAAACACTAACTCTTAAAAGAAAATAAACTCTTGCTATTCTGGGGCCTAGCCGTGGTGGTGAACCTCTGGCACGCGTGCTGCTGCAGGCTGTATCACTGAAAGCTCTCAGATGTTCGCCATCACCAACCAGCCTAGAGCCTTGCAAAGATTGGGTTTTGTGTCAGCAACACTCACCGTGTCTTTTCCCAGAGATAAGAGACAATTCTTTGGTCATCTGAGCTCTTGCTGCCGTCCAGTGTTGTGCTGTCCACAGGCAGGGTCAGCTCTTTATCTGGGCCTGCATCTGCCTGGGGAGGCTTGTTGTTTTCTACAGAGAGACAGAGGACACAATGGGGCATTTGTTCTGGTAGCCATGGGAACTCTGCCCCTGAGCCCACAGAACTGTGGGATGTGTGGGAGAGGTGGACACTGTGGAGAGCCCACAACAAATACTGAAGTCTTGAAACACACCAATTCTTTGTTTCTTCTCATTATTGGGGATTGAACCCAGGACCTTCACAATGAGTTTCATCCCCATACAATTTTAATTTAAAAAATTTTTGACGCATAAAGTGGGGTTATGAGAAAAGCAAGCTCAATATTTGGCACTGTAGGTAGTCCATACATTCTACTTGAATGTCAGCTCAAGAAACAAATAAACAAGAATGCCTGAATTGAAAAAAAAAAAATATTTTTTGAAACAAGGTTTTCCTAAGATGCTAAGTTGCCCAGGCTAGGCTTGAACTTGTGATCCTCCTGCCTCACATTCCCCAAGTGCTAAGATTAGAGTCATGTGCCACCACATACAGCTATACATCAAACAATTTTGAAAGAAACAAAATAACATGGAAGGTTACAACGTTGTGCCAAATCTAAAATCTAATTCTACAGGGCTTGAATGAAAAAGGCAGGACTTCCCTGAGGAAGTAGATTTTAGGCTGGCCCTTCAAAGATATGGTCAGGTTTGGGATGGCATAGGCTCCATCTCCTCACCAAGGTAAGGGCACAAGCTGAGGCCTAGAGGTACGCCTGAGCTCCAGCTACAGAGAAAGCACAAGCAGAATGGATAAAAGAAGTTCTCAGAGGCTTTGGGGCTTGCAGCTTTCTGATTCTACTATGGTACCATTCAGAACCCAAACCCTCCTATCCCCAAAGTTAAAGGGATGAGCCTTACAAGAGCCTGCACCCCAGGGACGGAACCTACCAGGCTGCACGATGACAGTCACTTGCGCGGTGGCTTGCTGTCCTGTTGTGTCAGTCACTGTGAGCTCGTAGGTATAATCTCCTTCCTGCATGGCAGAGAGCTGCAGGGTTGGTGTCCGTACCCCCTGCACACAGAAAGTCAGAGGTGGGCAAATGGACCTGCAGAATCCCAAAGTCCCATAGTGATTCCTACTCTGGTTGAAATTATCTATCAGTTTTCTAAACCTAAGTTAGTACTGGGCTATTACCTCCCCACTCAGCACAGCTAATGACTGTTGAATCAGACATCATGAGACATCTTACTAAGAGGAATCTGTACAGACTCTGTAACCACAGGGAAACCGTAACACAGCACATGAGCTGCGTCCA